TTTGAACCGCTAGCCTTCTGGTTGGCAGCCAAGTGCCTTAGGCACTATGCTACCAAAAAAATTGCACTTGTGTAAACTTAGGTGGTAGGGTGATGGTTTGACATAGACGTCTCCTCAACTCTTTGTGTCAACGGGTTAAAATGCGTGGTCTTTCCCAAGGGGGTGCTTTGGAATCTCATCATTAGGGCCCGTGGTTTGAGCCCCGTTCTTGGTCCTTTAGGAAGGGACTTGTCTCATGGCAGGCCTGCAGTAGCCATTCTGGGTTGTGTGCTGTGGTGGGTGAGGCAGTAACGGGCCTCGAATGTCATGGTTTGGGCCTCTTGATCGTGGCCCCCACTGCCCCCAAGAAGTGGTCTGAGTTGCTTCGAGTGGGACCTCCCTCAGCGGTAGGGGTCCTTGGGTGGGTCATGGGGGTATGATGCTGGATTTCCCTGGAGATTCCAAATGCAAGGAAGATCGAACTTTCTGAATTAAAGAATTGTTTGTAGCATTGGGGAGTGTCCCCATTTGTTCTAACTTTACAAAATTAAATCTATTTCCTGAACTGTATGGTGGGAAAATATCTTTAAGGTAGATAATTTCTCAAAATATCTTTGTGGTAAGCTGTTAGTAGTTGTAGATTTTTTAATTTTTTTTTTAATACTGCAGTTTAATAATGAGGGAGTTTTTAATATTCCAAACCATGTTTGCCAGCGGATATAGCAGGTGAAGTGGTAAAATTATAGGCCCATCAAAAATGCTTACGTTTCCTGTAATATGATACTAAGTTTAATATTTTTATAACCTTCACTGAATTCTAATTTCATTAAAGTAGCAAGCATGCTTCCATTTGCAGCCCAGTTATGCACATAGTTTGCTGGTGTATCGAACTAGTTAGAATTGTACACTCTGTCTGCACGTGTGTGAAGTGGGAGGGCCCCAGAAAGGCTTGGCACAGATAACCCCTGCCTAGGCGGATGCAGGACATTGGAAGGGAATTGAAAACAGACGGAATTCTCTGAGAGTCTGAACCTGTAGTTTAAATGAACATTCAGAGAGCTAAGGAGCAGGAGTCGTGTCTGTGGAGAGCCCATGCAGCTCGTACTTTGGTGTGATGGGAAGAGTGAAGTCTTGAGGTCAGTCCCTGAGGGGAGCAGTGCTGCCTGGGTGGGAGCGCTGGTCAGTGAATGCAGTTAGGAAGTGTTGCCGTTGATAATGAACCCTTTCACGATTTTGTAGCTCAAGGCAGTGGAGCCAGGTGGTGGCCCCCTGGCCTGGGGCTTTGTGGTGATGAGCACAGAGAGGGGCCTGCTGGGCTCCTGGCACAGACAGTGTGTGTTGGCCTGTCGGGTGGTGATAGTGGGAGCTGCGTGCGGGGAGCTCGGACTTCTTACAGCAGCATTCTTCTTCATTGGATCATCTGCTTTGGAAGTCTGTGATAAGGACACCGTTTTATAAATGATCTTCATGAACCAGGGTTAGTACTCTCAGGTTAGAGCACCTCACGTTCATCCTTAAAAGATGTCTTTTATCTGTTCAACCAGAAGAGATTCTGGTTTTAAAAAAGAAAAGGATGCTACCAGCAAAACATCAGCTTTATTGCCTTTTTAAAATTTTTTAAAAATCCACTGTAGTAGTTTGGGTTCTTAAGAAGAGCCCTATATTTTCCTTTTTAAAAGAATGACGTAGTTGGTTCCTTCGTTTTCCGATGCCGTGAGCAAGAGGACTTATCAAGTCCATTTCGTACTCCTCACGGAGTAGACCTGTCGCCGGAGAAGGACCTCGTGCTTGGTGAAGTAGAGGGTCAGCGAAAAAGAC